ACCTGCTCCTCCAGACAGCAATTCCACTCTCCACATTTCTGTGCCTGTCCCAGACCCCAGCAGCCCAGGTGTGGCGTCATGGATAGGAGGCTTCCCATGGGTACAGGTGCCAGACTCAGCAGCTAGAAATATGGAATGCTGGGTTAAATGCAAATTTCAGATCAATGATAAATAATTTTCATGTAAGCGTATCCCATGCAGCATTTGAAATATAACTTAATCAAATCTAACTAAACATCCTGCATTTTGTAGGAAACTCCCCGGGGGCTGTGTCTCCAGGATAGACGGTCAGTGGAGAATGGCAGCCCACACTGATATGGGGTGAAGTGTGTCCCCCAAAATCAATATGTTGAAGCTCTAACCCCCAGAACCCTGGAATAAAACTGTATCTGGAGTTAAGATCTGTAAAGAGGTAATTATGATCTAATGAGGTATTTAGGTTGGACCCTAATCCAATAGGACTGGTGTCCTTCTAAGAAGAGGAAGGGACATCAGAGGAGAGGCCACGTGAGGACCCATGGGAAGGCGGCCACCTGCAAAGACAGGGGCCCCAGGAGAAGCCAGACATGCAGAGCCCAGAGCTCCTTGCACTTCCAGCCTCCTAGACTGTGAGAAAATACACTTGTGTTATTGAAGCCCCTTAGTCTGTGTTTATTTGCTATGGCAGCCCTAAGAATCTAACACGCTTGCCAACCTGTCCAGGCACAGATGGGCCGTCTACAGGGAAAGGATGTAGGGAGACCTGCAGGCCTGCTGGGGCTGGACCAGGAGATGGGGTGCTCAGGAATGGAGGCAGGTTCCCCCCACTCAAAGCCCTCAGCCCCTCCCCCCGTAACATGCATGCCCAGAGTTCAGTCTGTTTCCAAGCCCCATCCCGTGCCTGTGGAGTCATTGTCACCCCTAGTCTCAGTCATATGCACTGCTACGCTCCACTACATCCTCACCTCCACTCCATGGCTTCCTGAACCACACACCCAAGTGCACCGCTCTGCACCTGGCTTCTCCACCAATCACGTACCCTGGAGTCTTTCCAAGCTGTCCATGTGCGGCAGCCTCCTTTTGAAGCCTGGAGTGGGTGAGTGTTGAGCAGAGGTGATGGCAGAGGCCAGAGCTCATTTCATTCCTGACCAGGGGAAGCTCGAGCATTCCTTCTGTACTGTAAGTGAGTGCTGCCCGGCCTGGGGGTGTGCACACCCTGCCCCGAGACCACTGCTTCAGAGAACGGGCAGCTTGCTCAACCTAGGCATTGCCCACACCTCCCACATGGGTCATCTCCCATTGACGTCTGGAGTCTCAGAGATCCTTCTTGATTTTTTTTTTTTTAAGGCAGTCTCTCTCTGTCACCCTGGAGTACAGCAGTGCAGTCTCTGCCCACTGCAACCTCTGCCTCTCAGGTTCAAGCGATTCTTGTGCCTCAGCCTTCCAATTAGCTGGGATCACAAGTGTGCCCCACCACGCCCAGCTAATTTTTGTATTTTTAATAGAGAGGAGTTTTTGCCATGTTGGCCAGGCTGGTCTCGAACTCCTGACTTCAAGTGATCTGCCCACCTCAGCCTCCCAAAGTGCTGGGATTACAGGCGTGAGCCACCGAACCCGGCCTGTCTTGATTTAATAGTCATTCAAGGTGCTCATTTGTTGACTGAATGGCTACAAGAGCAGATATAAACAAACACATCCCATCAGTCTTGCCCTGGGTCTGGAGGAGCACCAGCGACCTTTTACACCGGATCATTCTCTGTGGTGGCACTAGCCTCTGACCTGCAGAGTGCTGGGCAGCGTCCCTGGACCCCACCCACCAGATACCAGCAGCAGCTCCCTACCCCAGTGGTGACAACCAAAAATGTCCTCAGACATTCCTCCAAGCATCCAGGTTGGGAACCACTGTTTTCAAGCCTCCCAAATGCATCTCACGCCACGTGTCTATGCACAGAATAAATGAGTAATTTCGCTTTTGACCAATGGTTTTGTTTGGAGACAGGTGTTATAACGTAAGAAAATTCCTCAAAGGAGAAGTGTGCTATCAGCTGCAGCATCTCCCAAGTCCAGCCCTGCACCGCACCCCCGCCCCCCGCCACCGCCGCTGCTCCCACATGCATTCCCCATGAACATGCTGCTGGGAATCAACCGAACCCTTGTTTCTCTCGAAGAAAATTGGCGGAAGCAATCCTAGCTTGCGTGCCGGGATGCCTGCCCAGGTGAAACCAGCAGGAGTCTCTCAGTTTCTAAGGCAGTGGCAGGAAAGTAAAGGAAGCAGAAACCACGAGGACCATCCTCTCAGCAATTCACTCCACCAGTCCTCCCTAAGCCCGGTGCTGGGTTTCAGGCATCAGAACACTGGCTCTTGTGGGTTGATGAGAGGGACTCATAAGTGGCCAAACTGTGACTCAAATCTGGCAGGACTCCAGAGCCCACTGGCTTCGCACTCTGTCCTCTTAAATTCTACAATTAAGAGGTGGCTTTCCAGCGGAGGGCCACCCATTGACTTAAATGTTCACTCTCCTGTAACAGGTAACATGAGATTTTCTCTCATCTGTGGGTTTCCTGATGTCAGGCTGGAGTGCAGAGTAGGGGTCATCGGTCAGTCCCCTATGGGCTGAAGGGAACCCTGGGTAGAGGACAGTTCGTGTGTGTTTCACGCTGCTGCCAGGGGCTGGCCCTTTGCTATAAACCAGGTCCTGTTTTGAGCTTGCTGGGCAGTTCAGGAGCAGCGTTCCACAGACACTTCTGAGATGCGCAGGCACCTGTCCTGCCTCATCTGGCCCAAAAAATCGCCCTGATAAAACCAATGACATCATGGATTAGAACCCAAGGACTCTGAGTCCAGTGGTTCCCAATCTTGCTGCCTATTAACATCACGGAGGGTGGGGGCTTTCACAGCTCCCCAGGTGATTTTAATAGGGAGCAAGATCAAAACCACTGGCCCTCAGGGACCTTGCTGCTGTGAATAGGCAGGAATCCACATCCAGGCCACTCCCTACCAACTCTGTGGGGTCTCCAGGACAGACTTGCTTCGGCAGTCTCAAGGCTCCCCAGGCACAGCTGGGACCTCCCTCAGTGATGCCGTGCTGGCTACCCACACTCTAATGCGCATCTGAATGAATCGGGCTCTTGTGAAAATGTGAATTCTAGCTCAAGAGGCTGGGATGAGCCTGAGATTCTGCTAGGAACTAGGAAAAGTGTGATCCAGAGCTAGGAAATGTGTGATCCTTGGATGCTTGTCATCCGGGAGCTTATTAGAGGTTCAGGATCTCAGTCCCCACCCAGGACCTAAGGATCAGAATCTACATTCGAATAAGGTGCAGGCTTGTTGCATATACATCCCTAGTTCAACACAACCTACTACAACCTAAAGGCTGTATTTGCTAATGAGAAAGTGAGGTCCAGAGAGATGGGGCCTTGGACCCCACAGCTACTCAATGCAAAAAGCTCTGGGAACTATGCTTGCCTGCGACCCAAGTGGCTTCTTTCCACCGTTGTCGGTCTCGCTCAAGATAGCATTTTGTTTCTCTGACAATGATGATTTCAGGCAACGTACAAAGCTTGCGCCTCCTGTCACATTTAATTCGGGCATGAAACCAAACAAAACCCAAAAATATAGGAAGGAAATAGAAGAAATGGGGCTAAAAAATGTCTAAAAATGGGCCAGAAGCAAGGTGGCTTTTTCATCTTCTCTTTGATTAAAAAAGATCTGTTAACTCGAGGCCGCAGGTGTGTGACTCAGGGCAGAGGAGGGGAAGTCCGTGGGAAGCTTTGGATCCTTCCTATGAGAATAATCAGGAATCGAGCCCAGCTCAGGGGAAAATATATGAGATTCCTTTGACTCTCCCGTGATGGGCTAGTTTCAGCATTATGCTGAAAACATAAAATAAAACAAAGGCGTTCACCAGAAGGAAATGCAGTTTCCTCTATTTCTGAGCCCACAAAGAGCTAAAATGACGCGGATGAGTCAGAAGCTAGTGGCCGTGAGGGAGCCACCAAAGGAAGACACTGAGCTTTTAATGTTTCCGTAAAGGTCAGCAAAACCCCTCCCAGCACGGAGCTGATTTTTAGAAATAGCTGCAAGTGGTTTCCAGTCATACCAGGTGATTGAGGTGGGTGACCCAACTGAGCGCAATGCGAGGAACAAATCCAAATGTGACAATAAGGTGGCATTCCTGGCTTGTTTACTCATTTTGAGATGGTGGTCTCACTCTGTCACCCAGGCTGGAGTGCAGTGGCATGATCATGGCTCACTGCAGCCTCGACCTCCCAAGCCCAAGCCACCCTCCCACCTCAGTTTCCCAAGCAACTGGGACTTACCGGCATGTGCCACCATGCCCAGCTATTTTTTTAATTATTATTTATTTTTCTGTAGAGACAGGGTCTCGCTATGCTGCCCAGGCTGGTCTCAAATTCCTGGATTCAAGTTATCCCACCTCAGCCTCCCAAAGTGCTGGGATTACAGGTGTGAGCCACCACACCTGCCCTGGTTTCTTCACTACTTTATAAGCAAAAGGCAGTTCCTTATTAAAAAAAAAAAAAAAAAAAAAAAGTCCCGGCTGCGGCTTAAGCAGGGACAGCTGCATGGAGAACAGCTTGCAGCTTCTCAAGGTGCCTCCTCTGAAGGGCACAGTGGGTCTGATGGGCTGTTCAAAGCAAGTCCTGATACTCACATTCCTTGCACCCAACCCCCACTCCCACCTCATTTCTTTAACAAAGGTGATTGCCCATTTTCAGACACAGGACAGGATTATTGAGGGTGCCACCGAGGAAAACGGGCTCATCACCTGAGAAGGGGCCGTGGAGGCTGCATGGCAGGTGGCAGAGGACAGAGCAAAGAAGGGGCAGAAATTGCCCCTATCAGTTTGCTTGGGCTGCCCTAACGAAGCACCACAGACTGGGGCTTAAACAACAGAAACTTATTGTCTCACAGTTCTGGAGGCCAGAAGTTCAAGATCAAGGTGTCCGTAGGGCTTGTCCCCTCTGACACCTGTAGGGCGAATTCCTCGTCTCATCCTCACCCCTGTGCATTGCCGGCAATCCTCGTCGTCCCTGGGCTTCCAGCTGCATCCCCTAATCTCTGTTTCTGCCGCAGTTCTGTGGCATTCTTCCGGTGTCTCTATCGTCACCTGGCTTGTCTTCCTGTAAGGACGGCAATCATCATGGATTAGAGGCCTGCCATCTTCCATAGGATCTCATCTTCACTATCTACATCTTCGAGACTCTCTTTCCAAATAAGACCACTGCCTGAGATACTGGGGGTTGGGACTTCGGCGTATTTTTCTGGGGAGACACAAAATTCAACCTGGAATGCCACCTTTGTGGCATGAAATGTTAATTAGGTACATTCACTCCACCTGAGGAACTTTTTGTTTGTTTGTTTGAGACAAAGTGTCACTCTGCTGCCCAGGCTGGAGTGCAATGGCTGGATCTCGGCTCACTGCAACCTCCACTTCCTGGGTTCCAGTGATTCTCCTGCCTCAGCTTCTCAAGTAGCTGAAACTATAGGTTCCCACCACCACACCCAGCTAATTTTTGTATTTTTAGTAGAGATAGGGTTTCACCATGTTGACCAGGCTGGTCTTGAACTCCTGACCCCTGGTGATCTGCCCGCCTCAGCCTCGCAAAGTGCTGAGATTACAGGCTTTAGCCACCATGCCCCACCCTGAGGAACTATTTTTATCTGCACAATGCTTCATTGAAACAAACCCTTTCTTGGAAATCTAATCTGTTGTATCCCAGATCTTGAATATAATTATTGTGATTTTTTTTGTTGCATTTTTGTTGATTTTGTTGCTGGTTTGTTTGTTTGTTTTTGTTTTTTTGAGACAGAGTCTTGCTCTTGTTGCCCAGGCTGGAACGCGGTGTCCTCATCTCAGCTCACTGCAACCTCCACCTCCCTGGTTCAAGGGATTCTCCTGCCTTGGCCTCCTGAGTAGCTGGGATTACAGGCGCCCGCCATCATGCCTGGCTAATTTTTGTATTTTCAGTAGAGACAGGGTTTCACCACGTTGTTAGGCTAGTCTTGAACTCCCAACCTCAAGCGATCCGACCGCCTCAGCCTCCCAAAGGGCTGGGATTACAGGCGTGAGCCACGCCCCCCGGCCTATGGTGTTGCTTTTCCTTCCCCTCCTCTCTCAAGTGCCCACTGAGCAGGCTCCTTGCCTTAGGATGCAGAAGGCTGAGTTAACGGGGGTTTTCATTCATTCCACAGGCTCTGGAGAGGCCCAAGGAGCAGGCTGGTGTCCCAGGGAAGACCCTGGCAGGGAGGGAGGCCCCTGGCCCTGCCCACAGCGGACTATGCAGGAATCACTGGGGCAGCGGTGGGCCAGGGCCACAGCCAGGGAAAGAGGTGGGGTGCTGGACCAGTGCATGAGGGTGGTAGGGGGAAGTGAGTGGGGACAGCCTTGCCGCGGCTTGGCTCATCCTTGGGCACAGACCTCCCTGCTCCTCCTCGGCCCCCTCCCGGAGGCGCAGGCTCAGCCTCCTGCGTTCCTTCCTCTGCAACTGTCTGGGCCGCCTCCGCTCAGCCCTGAGGCTCTGCTGCCCCACGCGGAGCCCCCATTTCCACAGACGAGGACATCCCAAGGCCGCTTTCCGACAGCCCAAAGAGAAGTCCTGGCTCTGAAGAGACAGCAGAGAGGCGGACCCCCCCCCCAACCCGGGATACCCCCCATTCCCAGCACCCCCCAGCACCCGGGGGTGCATGCACTTCCTGTGGCTGCAGCACGAACTGCCACACACAGGGAGGCTGAACACAGAAGTCTATTTCACACAGTCCTAGAGGCCAGAGGCGGTGACAGCGTGCTGGACGGCCGCCCTCGCATCGGAGGCTCAGGGAGAATCCTTTCCTTCCTCTTCCAGCTTCCCCAGCTCAAGGCAGCACCCCTGCACCCTCAGCCTCCATGGTCCCATCGCTGCCCCTCTTCTGTGTCAAATGACCCTCCGCGTCCCTCTCCACCAGAATAATCCCCTCGTCTCGAGCGCCTTAATTTAATGACACCTGCAAAGTGTTTGCCGTGTGAGGTAGCAATGGCAGGTTCCAGGGATTAAAACCTGATATGTTTGGGGCCCATTATTCTGCCCACACAGAGGGGCTGGCATAGGGCAGAATATGCCGTCCTTGTTGCCGGGTAAAGCTGCCCAGAGGGCCTGGAGGACACCTGCTGTGCCTCTCTCATCCCCCACAGTTACCCCAAGGGGGCCGCCACCGAGGTGCTCCAGCTCTGATCCAAGTATGAAGTGAGGGCAAGTCCACTCCCTTCCCTGCTGGCTCTGACACAAGTTCTCCTTGTGCCCAGGGGTGGGTGTGAACAGCAGCGTGAAGGCTGGCCCAGGCTCCGCCCAGGCCCACACAGCTGCCTGACCCAGTCATGCCCAGCTCCGCCTGAGATGGAATCACTCTAGTGCTGGCCAGCTGGGTGGCTCCCCCAGGGCCAGCTCACAGCTCTTGGCCAGTATTTCACCCAATCCTGCAGATTCTAGACCCTGAGTCTTCACTACTCAAAGTGGGGTGCCAGGGCCAGCAGCACACCCCTCACCTGGGAGCTTGTTGGAAAGCAGACCCCAGGCCCCGCCCCAGCCCTCCTGCACCAGAATCTACATGTTTACCAGATGCCCGGCAGTCCCGGGCCCACGACAGTGACAAGCAGGGATAGAAACAGCTCCAGGACCTCTTCCCTTCCCACCAATATAACTGCTCATTCCATTCAAGAGCTGCTGGTCTTTTCTCTCCTGGCAGGAGAGTGTGGGCTGCCTGCCTCCCCAGGGGATGGGCATGTGGTTTGGAAGCCAGGCAGTGCTCATTTGGTTTATTTATCTTCTTGGGACTTAATCTGTTTTGAATTTCATATAACATTCTAAAAAGGCTTGGCTTGTTATTATTCAGGGGTGGGGTAAGTGCGCTTGTGTTGAACAAAGTTGAGAAATATTTTGCAGCTGATCACGGAGCTTCAGACCCACCCTCCCCGGGGCTGCCTGCCCAGGAATCTCTAAAACCCATCTGATTCAGGTCCTTCCTGCGGCGAACATCTGTTGTTTGTCCACATGGCTCTCTTCCCTTCCCTTGGGAGGAGGCTTCCAATCACATGTCCACTCCCTCCTCTACCCATCACATGACCCAGGTCACACGGTGGTCCCATGACACAGGCCTGCCTCTGCGAAGCCTCTGTGCCTATGGCCACAGTTGATTGGTCTGCTGTTGACTGAAACTAGACCAATCAGAATCCTTCCTTCCCTGGGATTTGTAAAATCAAAGCTGAGAAATTGTCTCTCTGTTTTTCAGGGATCTCCAAACTTCACTAATGTCAGAGTAGTACTGCTACATGGAGGTGCTGGCTCATGGCAGCCTGCCCTATGGAAGTACCTGCCTCCTGGTACTGTGCCCTGAAGAATTTTTCTGACACACAGAGGTTCCCTGCCACATGGAGAATGCCCACCTGCAGGTGCAGGAATGACACCAGGTACAGAGAAGCCTAGCTCAGAAGCAGAGCCACAGGGCGTCTCGGCTCCATTCCAGAGCTGCTTATGCTTCCTGATGTCCCTGCAGTCACTATGGTGCTTGGAGCTCTCCAGAGTCCTAACACATTCCCTTTTCTGTCTAAACTGGTTTGAATTTCATTTCTATCTTTTGTAACAGAAAAAGTCCTAACATATTTCCATTCTGGAAATCTTTTCATAGCAACCATGTTGGGGTGCAGGGTATCATCCTCCTCACTGCCATTCAGAGACCTTGCCAACCTAACTCCGTGTCCTGCACCAATTCCCATGGAAATGTAGCTCCTGCCCTTGATTCTTCAAAGGTGTAGATATCACCCGGTTCCTTCATGCACCTGCTGGACTCTTCCAGACCCCTGTGAAGCTCTTCCAGGCGCCTGCTAAGCAACTCCAAGTACCTGCAGGACTCTTCCAGTTCTTTTGTTCTTGTTGTTCTCTTTTGAGACAGGGTCACACTCTGTCGCCCAGGCTGGAGTGCAGTGCTGCAGTCACGGCTCACTGCAGCCTTGAGCTCCCAGGCTCAGGCCATCCTCCCACCCCAGCCTCCCAAGTCACTGGGACTACAGGCATGCACTACCATGCCTGGCTAATTTTTGTGTATTTTTTGTAGAGACAAGGTTTTGCCATGTTGCCCAGTCTGGTCTTAAACTCCTGGGCTCAAGTGATCCCAGTTCACTTTGGCCTCCTTAGTAGCTGGGACTACAGGCATGCACCACCACGCTCAGCTAATTTTTAAATTTTTGTGGACGCGCACGCGGTCTCACGATGTTGCCCAAGCTGGTCTCAAACTCCTGGGCTCAAACTATTTCCAGTCTTTTTGTTTTCTGCCAACACTTCGGTGTCTGCACCTGGACAATAGCATTCTCCCATCTCATTGTTATAATCAGCATCTCTCTTTCCCCTGGCTAGGCTGGAGGCATTCCAGAGAGACATTGGGCCTGGCAGCCCGGGGTCCTAGTGGATTTCGGATCACAGAACATGCCCAACACATGTTATTGACAGGCCTCCCAGACTCCCTGTGTGGCTTTTGAACTCCATGTTGGAGAACATGCTGTGTTTCGGTGAATGTCTGTGAATACTCTCAGAAAGGCCATAACCCACTTCCCGGCCTCAGCCTCCACCTCTGGGAAATGGAGGCAATAGAAGCTCTCTCATGGGGCTTGTCAGGCATACCCAGTGCTGATGAAACATTCAGGACCGTGCCCGGCATCCAGGAAGCATCTCAGAGCATTTTGTGCGTCATTTATGTTTTGTTTCCTCTCCCACTTCCTGTTTCACTCACTCTTTCCTTCTCATCTTCTCCTGTAATGTATTCTTCCCATCCCTGTCTCTCAGTTGAGGAAGCCATTGGATAGCATGGGCCCCCACCTCTGCAACAGGGCAATGCTTGGGGCTGGCTGTTTGGCAGCTGAGAAGATCTGCTGAGATGCCCCTACATAGAAGTCTCCCTCCAAGTCTGTGTGTCTGTCCCATCTGTTTCTTTCCAGCCTCACCCCGCCACCCCAATTTTCAGCCTCTGTCTAGCCAGGTGCTGATGCTCTGACCCTCCAGAGGTAATCTCTGGTTTATCTCGCCGGGAGCAGCAGGCTGGAGACCCCTGCAGAGGACACCCGGCAGCTGCGCTGGCCGGGGGAGTTAGTGCAGGC